GGAGGGGAGGGGAGGGAGGGAATTGGGCGGGTGGGTGGCTCCAGTTTGGGGGGGGACAAATTGTTACTCCAGACGTAGGTAATTTCGCATCCTAATCCTTTCACAATACTCCCTCATACGGGTACTCGTAGTGGCGGAGGTAGGGTGGATTCGATTATTCGTTACCGTTTCCGGTTAGCCACCCGGGGTGTTCACCTTCGTCGTCCCGGCCTCTTTTATTCACAGGGGTATCGTAATGATAATAATAATGATAATGGTAATGATATTGGGCTTCGAATTTTGGTTGATGGGAAGGGAGGAGATTGGATGGTTATCTTGTTCGAGGTATCGGTGAGGGCGTGTCTTTCCTCTTTCATTGGCTTCCGCCTGCGGTACTCGTACCTGTTGCCATGGTTTCCGGAGTGGAGAGAGGGAAAGAAAAAAAAAAAAAAAAAAAAAAAAAGAAGGAAAATAAAAATAATAATAATATTATATAGGTTACGCGAAATTTGGGCTCTGGTAGACAATGGATGGGAGAGTGCACGTAGTAACCATTTTTTGATACTTTTTTCCTTTTTCTGAACTTTTCTCCTCGTTTTCTTTTTTTCTTTTTTTCTTTTCCTTTCTTTCTTTTTTTCTCTCTTTCTTTCGCCTCTTGTCTGGCAGCTTTGATCGTTCCCATCGAATCCATGCACCCCACCCACCCCAAAAGCAATCCCTCGCACTTATCTCACACAAGAAACTGAATCTTACACCCTTGCCCACACCTACCCACCCGAGCCTACTCGAGAAACGCTATTCCATCTCAAGTCCAAAGCCCAGGACTGGAGACACCATCGTTTTTCGGGCCAAACCCGCCTCGGCTTGGTTTTTATATAACTCTCCTCCTCCTCCTCCTCCCCGTTCTGTTTTCCCTCTCTTTTCCCTCCCTTCCTTCCTTCCCTCTCACCGCTTTCTGCGTGATTCGACCAGCCCCGAAAGATCCTCGAAATCTTTTCCAGGCAATCGCGGAGACGGTGCGTGCGGGAAATTCTTCAGCCCTCTCTTCACGGCCTCGCGCAATTCGGTGTTGCGTGTCGCTTCCGAAGGCTTGATTCTGCCACCATTTGGTGCTCAAATCGACACAATTTATCTAGCTCCACCCCCCAATTACCCTTGACCCTTCGTCCTCTCATCTCTCTCCCATCACCACGCCCTCCACCGTTGTGGGGACGACCATATTTCTTCCCCTCCATCACCAATTGATCCAACAAACAAAGACCCCTCTCAATCCTGACCCGCTCTCGTCACATTGACATTTCACAATGTCGAATAACGTAACCGAACACACGCTTTCGAGCGATCACCACCACCTTCCCTCTGCTCAATTCGACTCGGAGAAGCAGCCGATCGATGAGAAGTCTGGGATCGAGGGAATTCCTCTGGACGAAGAGGATGATGAGGACATTGATGGACTTATTCAGGAACTCGAATCCCTTGATGGCCATGATGAAGAGTTTGAGGAGAGTGATGCCGCTCCTGGCTCTAGCGCTCGCCCCGTTCCCGAGGATCTCCTCCAGACCGACACCCGCACCGGTCTCACCTCCGCCGAGGTTGATTCGCGCCGCAGGAAGTATGGTCTCAATCAGATGAGGGAGGAGAAGGAGAACCTCATCCTCAAGTTCCTCATGTACTTTGTTGGTCCGATTCAGTTCGTCATGGAGGTTGGTTGCACCGCGTCTTCCTTTTACCCGGTTTTTTATTATTATTTTTCCATCCATATCAAACTTCCTGATTCTTGTATTACCTTCTTTGCTGATTGGTTCTTTTCTCGGCAATTTAGGCGGCTGCCATCCTTGCCGCCGGTCTCCAGGATTGGGTAGATTTTGGTGTCATTTGTGCTCTCTTGTTGCTCAACGCTTGCGTTGGCTTCGTTCAGGAATTCCAGGCTGGTTCCATTGTCGATGAATTGAAGAAGACTCTCGCTTTGAAAGCTGTTGTCCTCCGTGAGGGCCGTCTATTTGAGATTGAGGCACCGCAAGTCGTGCCCGGCGATATCCTACAGATTGAAGAGGTTTGTCTTTTTTACATTCTTGGCCTGATGAAACTGCACTTTCGGGTCTTGTGGTGATTGTGCTAATTCGTCGTGTCTCACAGGGAACCATTATTCCCGCTGACGGTCGCATTGTCACCGAAGACGCTTTCCTCCAGGTCGATCAATCCGCCATCACTGGTGAATCCCTCGCTGTTGACAAGCACAAGGGCGACCAATGCTATGCTTCCTCCTCCATTAAGCGTGGCGAGGCCTTTATGGTCGTCACCTCCACCGGTGACAACACTTTTGTCGGACGCGCCGCTGCTTTGGTGAACGCTGCTTCCGCCGGTACTGGTCATTTCACTGAGGTTCTTAACGGTATCGGAACCGTTCTCTTGGTTCTCGTCATCTTCACCCTCCTCATTGTCTGGGTTTCCTCCTTCTACCGATCCAATGGCATTGTCACCATCTTGGAATTCACCCTTGCCATCACCATCATTGGTGTCCCCGTCGGTCTTCCGGCCGTCGTCACCACCACCATGGCTGTCGGTGCCGCTTATCTCGCCAAGAAGCAGGCCATTGTCCAGAAGTTGAGCGCTATCGAGTCTTTGGCCGGTGTCGAGATTCTCTGCTCTGACAAGACCGGCACCCTCACCAAGAACAAGCTCTCCCTCGCTGAGCCATACACTGTCGAGGGCGTCGAGGCTGATGATCTCATGCTTACCGCCTGCTTGGCCGCTTCCCGCAAGAAGAAGGGTCTTGATGCTATCGACAAGGCTTTCCTCAAGTCTCTCCGCTTCTATCCTCGTGCCAAGAATGTCCTCTCCCGCTACAAGGTTCTCGAGTTCCATCCCTTTGACCCCGTCTCCAAGAAGGTTACCGCCATTGTCCAATCTCCCCAGGGTGAGCGCATTGTCTGTGTCAAGGGTGCACCTCTCTTCGTCCTCCGCACCGTCGAGGAAGACCACCCCGTTCCCGAGGACGTTGCCAACAACTACAAGAACAAGGTTGCTGAATTCGCTACTCGTGGTTTCCGTTCTCTCGGTGTTGCTCGCAAGCGTGGTGAGGGCCACTGGGAGATTCTCGGTATCATGCCTTGCTCCGACCCTCCTCGTCACGATACCGCCAAGACCATTAATGAGGCCAAGACTCTCGGTTTGTCCATCAAGATGTTGACTGGTGATGCTGTTGGTATTGCTCGTGAAACCTCTCGCCAGCTCGGTCTCGGCACCAACGTCTACAATGCCGAGAGGCTAGGTCTCAGCGGTGGCGGTGATATGCCCGGTTCTGAGGTCTATGATTTTGTTGAGGCTGCCGATGGTTTCGCTGAGGTTTTCCCTCAACACAAGTACAATGTCGTCGAAATTCTCCAACAACGTGGATATCTGGTTGCTATGACTGGTGACGGTGTTAACGATGCGCCCTCCCTTAAGAAGGCTGATACTGGTATTGCTGTCGAGGGCGCTTCCGATGCTGCCCGTTCTGCCGCCGACATTGTTTTCTTGGCTCCTGGTCTCTCGGCCATCATTGACGCCCTCAAGACCTCCCGCCAGATTTTCCACCGAATGTATGCCTACGTTGTCTACCGTATTGCCCTGTCGCTCCATTTGGAAATATTCTTGGGTCTCTGGATCGCCATCTTGAACGAGTCTCTCAACTTGAACCTTGTTGTCTTCATCGCCATCTTTGCCGATATCGCCACCTTGGCCATTGCCTATGACAATGCACCCTTCTCCAAGTCTCCTGTCAAGTGGAACTTGCCCAAGCTCTGGGGCATGTCCATCCTTCTTGGTGTTGTCCTTGCCATTGGAACCTGGATTGCTCTGACCACCATGTTCGCTGGTGGAAGTTCCGATCGCGGCATTGTCCAGAATTTTGGTAACCGTGATGAAGTTTTGTTCTTGGAGATTTCCCTCACTGAGAACTGGCTCATCTTCATTACCCGTGCCAATGGTCCTTTCTGGTCTTCCATTCCTTCCTGGCAATTGTCTGGTGCTATTTTGCTCGTCGATATCATTGCTACTCTCTTTACCATCTTTGGCTGGTTTGAGGGCGGTAAACAGACAAGCATCGTCGCCGTTGTCCGTATCTGGATCTACTCTTTCGGAATTTTCTGTGTCTTGGGTGGTGTTTATTGTGAGTATTCTACGATTCCATCCATCTTTTTATTGATTGCTAATAGTATCATTGCAGATCTCCTCCAAGACTCTGTTGCATTTGATAACTTCATGCATGGAAAGACCCCAAAGAAGGATTCGAAGAAGCGGTCCTTGGAGGACTTTGTTGTCTCATTACAGCGTGTCTCAACCCAGCACGAGAAATCATCATGATAGAAGGCGTGTTTGTGTCTTGCTTTTTATTTGGGGTTAATTTTTTTGTATACACTAAAGGAGGCACTGCCTTGTTCCTCGTTCCTGAACAATTGAGGGTTTTCTTTGTAGAGTTTAAAAAAAGAAAAGAAAATAGTACCACTAGTGTGGACGGGAATTTTTTTTTTTCCCCTCGTCTAATGTGTATGAGGGAATGGGGCTGTCAATAGCTGTATTATGCATTGTAGAAATTAGGTTTTATGTTTTTTTTATTTTTTTGAATTGAGCTCTGGGGTTTTTGTACGGAAAGTTTTTCATTTTTTTCCTGATGTGTAGAACATGAAGTGTCAGCCCTATGCTCCGATCTCGTAAATTTGAATTTTCTCCTCCCATCCTCCACACCGCAACGATCTTCATACCGCGACCACCTGGTATCGATTACCTTTAGAGCTCTTTCCCACTTGGTGTGAATTCTTGATACACAATGTCGGCCCCAAATATCACAGAAATACCAGGATTTTACTATGGCATGCACCGATCCGTTTGTTGCAAACAAATTAATGCTCGGCCTTGCAGCTCAATTTGACTAACCAACGGTAGATACCGGGAAACGTAAATACTTTAGGATCCTCTCCGATCATGCCATAGCCTCCTCCTCCTCCTCCTCCAGGTCCTCCGGTCGCCCGAATTTTTATACACCTAGCACAATTGCCGAATTAGAAGCAAAGAAGCTAAAACTCAATGACGATGCTAGGCAGGAGTCCTCAAGTTTTCGATACCGCCGTAGGAGCTCATTGTTTGCATCGCCATCTACGCGTTGGAACCTTGAGCGTGAGATGAGCGTGGGTACTCCTGTGTCGCTGCGAGCTGCGTATAAGAGGCATGCAGCGAAATATTGGGTGTATAAAGAGTTCATACCCGCCGCCAACGTTGTGCAGGGCGTTAGCAATTTGTTTGTACAGAGGATGGGCGGAACAGTGTATTTCGTCGTTGGGATGAATAGCGGGAACATCACGTCCTTTTGTGCTAATGGAGTGGGGGCCAAGGGTGTCGGGCTTGGAAGCAGTATTGAGGGGTTTAAGGATCGTGAGTTCTGGAAGTCTGAGATGGAGCAGGGTATGCAACTGGAGGGGGAGGTCCGGGAGCGTGAATTGGTAAGGAGCGATGTGAGTGTTCGCTATTGGTATTTCAGGCTCCCTGGGATGGTGACGGGAACCGTTGCGATTGAGAATGAGGGGAGTAATCTGGAAGTTTTGTATGGGTTTCACACTCCTCAGGTCGCTCGTTCCCTTAATCTGATATGCGATGATGACAGCTAACAGGAGGGATATCCAAAGAGTGTCCTCCCTCTCCGCCACCTTTGCCCGCCAAATCCTGGGCAAGACGGCCGATTTTTTTCCGACCATGTACGGTCCCGCAGGCACTTATCCCGTGAGGACTGACGTCCCGGACCAAAAGCCAACTCTATCAATGACCTACTCCCCGGATAAGCGTACCATGTTCTACGGGCTTGAAAAGGGCGTCGCATTCGGGCGGGCTGACCGTCAGGCCGGTGTCAGGGGGCCAGTGACAAACCTGGGCACTGACATCTTTGCGGTCCACTGTCTACCCCCGGACGCTCCCACCCATACCGGCTTTCTCGCGGGCGGGCGCGACGGGACTGTCCGCCTCTTCGACGTGCGAGCGAACCCACGGACTCGCGCACCTATCATTCTCAACGTTGGCAGTGTCCGGCACATTGGAGGCCTAGGCCCTGTCAAACTTGCCATCCGCTGCGTGGACTCCTGCGCCGTGTACGACCTTCGCATGCAACAGCACCTCCGGAGACCCGGCGCGGAGAGCCCCTGCATATCCAGGTTTCGCGTCCCAGACACCGATGGGAGGAAAGGTGGCTTCGACGTTTACCACGAGATGGGCTTGATCGCTGTCGAGGGCGGGGGTGTTGGCACCGGTAGTGGGGGCAGTAGCAGCAGCAATGAGAAGGCAGTTTACTTGTTCGACGTTGACAGTGCCGATCTCGTAAAGAAGTTTCCCCCTGGCCAGGTCAAGTTCTTGAAGCCCGAAGGAGGCGATGGGTGGCCGACTGTGGTGATTGCCGGGGAGCATGGGGTTGGTGTTCACCAATAGTAAGATTAGCTATCTCCTATAATACCATACCATGCATTTTGCAGATTTTGTCTGCGGCCGAGCGGTTGGGAAATGGATATGGGAAATCGTGTTCATAATCATCTACGCATTTTACAACCTTGCAATAATTAATCAAATAATAAAGCTGCATTTATTTTTTCCTACAATAGAATTAACGTGCACCCAATCCTCTCATGGCGGGCCGCAAATCACGGCACAATTTTACCCACCATACCGACGAGAGAAAAAGAAAAAAAACTTAAAAACACCACGAGTGACACATCATGATTCATCACTGCTGCTCCCCCCCTCTTCATCATGCACCAGTTACAATACTTTACCATGGGGGTGTAAGGCGTAACAACCTCCCTCACACAACACAACAAAACACCATCAACCCGATAACAAAATTCCCCATTCATCAGTGGAGTTTTTTTTTTTTTTTTTTTTTGAGAAGTCCGAAAACTTCCCATTTACGACTTACTCACAAGCACACTATGTCAGAATTCATTTGGTGGGGATTGTACCAACCGTAATCGCCGACCGAAAAGGGCTGAATTCCCTCGTGTTGTGTTGTGTTGTGTTGTGGGGATACTTTAACTTATCTGTTGTCGGGATGGTACTGTACATAATGAATATCGTATGTAACAGTTTACCAAACCGCTCGCGTTATAGACGGAAATCTGGTGAGGTGGGGGGTTTTTTTTCTTTCTTTCTGGCGGGGTGTGTTGTTGCTGGGTGAGTAGGTACGGTAGATCTGGTCGGTTTCGCTTTCTTTACTCGCTGCACGGCGTTACGGTTTACATTTTAGGAAGAGGTCCAGCTTCGTGAATGTCTTCCGACAGATGTGTGAAATGAATTCCGTGGCGGATACTGGGTTGGGGTTTCCTTGTATTGGGTTTATATATTGATCGTATCGTATCGTGAATCTTTAGGTCCGGTTCAATATTTATTTATTTTTCTAGGCGGGTACCCGTACCGTTACATATATTTTGCTAGGGTGAGTGTGGTAGTGGTGGCGGTATGATGCTAGACTGCTAAAGATATTGAGGTGGTATGTGTGTATAATGTTATGGTAGCTCGTCCCAGGGAGAGATTGGGTTTATGGTGTGGGTGTGTTGGAGAAGAGGTAAGCAGGTATCATAGGGCCGTCAAGTAATGATATGTGGGTATATTGTCACCGGTTTGGTTTTCTTCTCGTGGCGGGCACGTGCGAAGGGAGGGTTGTGTAGTTCGTTGTTTTACTGCTTGATACCGGTGGTGTCATAGTAATCTCGGATTCTAGCCACCCTTGATGGTATCACAGTTTGCTTTTCCGTATTTGCCGGGGGGGGGGGTGTTTTCTAGGTAAGGGGATGGCTGAGTGAATACCTGCAGAGTTTTTACTGTGTAGTACATGGGGCATCACTCGGGTAGCTATCGTGCTGGAGGATGATGGGCCAAGTCGAAAAGAAAAAAGAAAATAGAATTCGTGGGTGGACTGACAATCAGGCAAAGCGAGAGCTAGATGCCATGCGGGTGGGGACGGATAGTAGGTAGGTAAAGGATTATGGGTGTTTGAGATTGTCTGAGAATTAGGGGACGGTGAACGATCGAATTGTCAGAAGAACGAAGAGCGGTGTTTTTTTTCCCCAGGCGGCTAGGAGGGCCTGCGGATGGCGTTTAGTAGATAAATAGTCCGGCTGGCCTAGGTCAGAGTGAATGGCTTGGGCTTTGTAAAAAAGACTGCAGGGTTCGTGGGCGCCCGGCGGATCTCTGCGTATTCCATGTGGTTGGTAAACATCTTGGGAATAGTTTAGCTGATATCTGTAGCTGACCGCAGATATTTTCAAATACCAACGGGCACCTGTAGACATTTGCCCCCCCCTCCCCGTCTTATACGATGGAGTATCTGGGGATATCTTCTGCCGGCTCGTGCTTCGGACGAGCAAAGAGAAACTGAAAATATTTTCCCATCATTCAAAGCGTTGGGAGTAGTGTGGGTACTGGGCTATTTCCTCTCGCTCAAGAAAGAATTGTTTGATTATCAAAACTATCTCATTACGGACCTCGAATTCCCACCACCCCTCCTTATGGACTCTTCTCCACCGCATACTTCTCCGGGCACATATGATCCTTATGATCCCGCATCGTGAGATTTTCTTTTTTTTCCTTTTCTAGACTCCGGTTACCAGGTTAGATACAACTTTCCAGGTGAGAATATGGTTTCGCACACCGAGAGGTCGTTTAACCCCAACGGCAATAGGCAGTAGTGGTGGGGATAACACATGCCAATATAGTCATATGGACACAGCTATTGTTGATGCATACGCTTGTGTTCAGTACAATACACGCCAATGCCCACAGGTCCCCTGAAAGCTCCCCAAGATTAGCGAAATCATGCTCGATCACTCGGAAACATGCATATATCAATTGCCCTTCTAAGGCCCTGCCGGATGACATCCAGAAGCCGGATTGCAGCCCATAGTCCGGTTAGGCCAGCTCCCCAAAAAGCACGGGCCGGCCTAGTAATACCCAAATAATTGTGTTACAGCATAGTTGTAGTTCTGATACATCCGTCGGCCCGGCGCGTTACTTCGTCCCGTTGGACTCCAAGCCAATGGCACAGCGTGAAGCAGACTCCCCAGAGTATAGACTGGGGCACGGAATCCTTCGGATAAGATAACTTTGGCTTCCTTTCCCTCTCTGGGTAGGAAGGAGGAATGGGTCCCCTCCACTCCGTTCGGTGCAATATAGTCATGACGCTGCCGGTACTTGCATGAAAGCAGTGACTCATATCTCAAAACTAAGCCCTATAGTATCCAATTCTAGAACGCCCGCGTCCCCTTCCCGGACCCTACGCACAGTACCACCTACTATACCTGTCCCCAGGGCTTGTGCATCCCTCTCGGCCGATCCTATCCCTTCCCCTCTTTCCTGAAGGTTGAAGTATATAGGCTCGCAACTCACTCGTAGGCAAGAAAAGTGCATCCGTGTATTCAGCCCGATAGCTGGCAATGGGAGTGATGTGCCGTTGGTATTATACTGCACTCACCCAACATCCCTGTCACGCCAAGGAGCATTCCAGGCGGGCTACTCTAAACAAGCAAGAACTCCGGGGTACCGAGTAACACTTTAGAGGGTTCTTGGATGCTATCAGAATTGAGCGGAGGTTCACGTTGGAGCTCGGGAATCCTTGGACTAGAGAATTCAGATGTTGTCATGAGCTGGGGAAAATCGGAGAAGGTGGAATATCTCAGAGTTCCCCTGTTGTAGAGGAGCTGTATGCGGGGGGGGGGACAAAGGAGGAAGATGTCGATGCCGTAGGTAGGAATATCTGTATGGGCCGCGTAGTCCTCAACGTCAATTCGACAAACACCTGCACAACCCCCGCAGCCACAAACCACCCCCAAAGCCAAAATCATGAATAACCTGGCAACCTAAACCGGTGGCCCCGGCCACCGAACCCTCGAATTTCTCGCCAGATTCGCACTCGGCACCGACAAGATCCCGGAGAACCTCAAATACCTGAACACTGCCTCCTACTAGGCAGACTTTTACGACCCCACGGACAAATTTGCCGAGCTTTTCTGCGGGGCAGACAAAGCGTTGGTGATTTCTACAAACACGCACGGTCACGGAAAGCCGGTCGGGTAGGTTTTCAATACTAGTGATTCTGAGGTTTAAGACTTGGGTTGGAGGGGCTTATTATACGAGCCTTTCCATGGGAGGGTGGGGGACGCAGTCGGTTTATAGGTTGTAGAAGACACATTGCGCTTGTGGGGGAGGATGGAGGGGCAGATTTTTTTCTAGTCTTGTATTTGTGCTTGGAGGCATGGTTCTGATAATGGCGGCAGCCCCGGACTCGACTACACCATCATTCGAGAGGGCATCTTCCTCGATGCTTTCTCAAGGCTCCTAGTCTGGAAGGCAGATCCTAGAGCCGTGAATGTCCTATCCAACGGGCCAATCCACTTCAACCCTAGAAAAAGTATAGGAGAAGAATCAGCAAGGGTCCTCCTAGCGGGCTCGCGCAGGAAGTCTATTGCCCCGTTTCCCGGTCCGCGTACAACCACTTTCGGCCACATGGTAGAGGTCAAAAACGAGGTCATGGGGCCCAAAGCCGAGCCCATAACCGCGGGCTTTGAGCCATACGTCGAGGGCCCCGCGGGCAACGGAAAAAAACAGGGGGTTTTCGAGGTGGAAGAGTAGCTTCTTCCTCGCAGCGGGTTGCGGAGAGGCGACGGTGACCGAGGGGCTTTTGGAGGAACTGCTAAGAAGGAATAGGGCAAATATTGTCGAATACACCGAGGGTATTCTAACTAGGGCGAGGGGGGCTAGAGTAAGTTTGGGTAGCTACTGATAATGTCAAGGATAAATGTAAAGTCATGGGTTGTCACTCGGACGGTGCCATAGTGGTCCTACCTATCTGGTGGGGAGGATTGTTGCTGCCTAGCTTTTCTGAGATGGCTATTTGGGATTGTCTGCGAGAGCCGAAAGTTCACCGGGCCGGTGATCTGGGCACTTTGTGTGGGATTTCAGAATGAGACGTATCGCTGGCTGGGCAGTCGGATATAATAGGCCCGTATCCCTACAGTCTCTCCCAGCTTTGGGCCCGTTGGCATGTGTACCGTGCACTGTGCGAATTTGTCTCAAGTGTACAGTACCCCCTCATGTCGTGCCATTGCAAGACCATCCCAGCACATCCCTCTTTTCAGTGCGAGAAGAGTGCTTGTGCTCCCGCGAACAGAGCCCTGACGTAAGACTTGTAAAGATATGATATATCACATAAACTCACCCTCCAACCATAACCTCGTTCTAACCGTATCGCGCGCCGGAGAATTTCGCGCGGGCGGGAGTAAGGGCCTCGGCGGGGAACAGGAACCTTCGAGAAGAAGCGGTTATGGGGTCGCTTCGGAGGGTATGGGTGGAGGCCGCGAGGCTCCCTCCCGGCGGAGTAGTTATGTACGCTTGGTTACGGTCTGGATGGCGAAGTGTACGTATGTATATATTTTCCATAGCGGGTTCGTCCCGTCCCTTGAAGGTGGTTTCCTTTCGTTTCCTTTTAGAGATTTATGCACCTAGTTGTGTTGCCGGAAACTTGCTAGCTATCGTATCGTATCGACCACCATACCATTAAATCCGTCCACACATGCAGGGTATTTCGATATATCAAAATATGTCACCTCGCGAGGCTGTTTTCCGAAGTATCATACCCCATTTATACATATAGCCTTACAGGGTTCCTATCATAAAAATGATACTTGTATATACAACCCTCGAGCGCTGTACCCGTATGAGGCTTCTTCTTTTTTTTTTTTTTGGTTAGCCTTGTGAAACGGATGGTGTGGTGCGGTAATGGATGATACTGGCAGCGGCATGGTACGGTACGTGCACTGCCGTGCGTACAGTACAGTGCATGGCGCACGTGTATGGTAGGTTTTACGGGTTGGGATCTTCTGGCACGGCCGTGCCGTGCGGGTGCCGTAGGTTTGTGTAGGTTTGTGGGCGTCTCTACGTTAAGGGTGGAACTGGGTGGTATGGTACCAGTACCGATAGTAAGGTGCCGGTAATGCGCTGCCGTGTCCGTAGAGATCGTGTTCTTCGAGTACGACTAGGCCTCTCTATTATTCGGTATGCGGCGAGTTGTGATGAATGTTTATAATTTTCCTGGAGATATATCCGAAAAAAGGAAAACAGTTATTTAAAGTGCTCCTATTGGGTATCAGATAAGGAAGGGTAGGAGGGGGTATACTTACCAGCAGCGTGCCGTATGGCACGAAGAAATAAGCTAATCCGGTCCGGTTTGTGGAAGTTTCGTTGAGGGCGTAACTATCATACCATCGCCACATTCACATTGACCGCCGAAATGAAGAGTTAGGTGCGCGGGTGCGGGTTTAAGCCGTCGCGGGATTGCGGTGTAGGGACCGCGCCCAAGTTATCACGGAGCGTGTTGGGTTTTAAATCGAGCCATGCAGGCATCTCTCCTTCAGGGCCGATATACAGGACAGACATAGAGACAAGTTATCGTAGTCGATACAAAGTGCTCCTACACTTCGAGCAGTCACAATTTATTGGCCCTTGGCGCATTGAGGGCGGTTTGGTGAGATATTATCATGGTACGGTCATCCGGTAGAAGTGCCGTATTCGAGAAGCGGTTCCCCCTTCTCGGGGATGGTACGGTACTGTGGCCCAAGGGTATTGCGCAATCGGTGTCAGTGTGGGGGAGGTCCCGTTCCACGGGTGGGTGAGAAACTCCGTCCCGCGAGAGTGGATCTCTAGTCGCACGGCTCCGCGAACGGGAAATTGATTTACGGTGGGTTCTGCGTGATTTTTTTTTTTCGGGGCCGATGCCCTGCCTTCGGTCGTGTGCGCGGGGGGTGGATTGCCGTCCCACTTGAGATGAAGGGTACAAGAACTTGGTGCCTCTGTTCATCTTTTTGGGTTGGTATTTATGATAACAAGGCTGAGGAACCTGCACTGGTAACCTAGCGGCTTGCTGTATGTCTCACGCTGTTTGCGGGGAAACTGTACGGGTACTTGGAGGATGGGTTGTATCATGCAGTGGGTACGGTACTGTGCAGCACTGGTCAGCCTCGGAAGAAAGTGAGGAGGAGGGATGGTTATGAGATGTTCCCCTCGGATACCGTACTCCTACTATACACTCAACCCCGGCTGTCCCGGATCTCGATGATCCGGATGCCTCGCTATCCCATATGAGATGCTATGAATCCAAAAAAATTCCGCGGAAAACTTGACTTGTTGTTCCGGATAATCCGTTGCACCGGACATATTCCTTAGATTTTAGCCATCCGTGATAGCGGGGTGTGAATGTACTCGGGGGGTATCCTCGGACGTAGGTAGGTATGATACCGGTAGGATAGGAACGGGCTGGAGGGCTTCCTATCCCGGGGTATTCTTGTAAGCCAATGTAGATGGGTACGGTGGTATGCTTGGGGCAATCACGTTACTGTAAGTGGGAAGTGCAGTTGGATCATCTTATCCGTAGCTATTTTACTTGTCAAAGCGTAGTGAGGGCAGCTTCGCTGTCCACAGAGGTGACATCCCACAAAACCGTACGGTCCGCATTTGAGCACCATAAGCAAACTAATGGAAAGGCCGTTCACCGCAAACCCAGGGAAGACTGACAAGGGGCTACAGTAACTCTTGAACGCCCGTTGTCTCCGCCCCCAATGGTACAAGTACGGTGCGGCATTGCCCTGAGGCTCGAGATTCAGGGCAAACCCTATTTATTGTAGCCGGGAGGGAGGGCTAACCTGCCAGCCCTCTCCTTTCACCTTCCTGGCAAGGTCCGTCTCTGGCCCACACGGTAACTGGACCGTCCGGGAAAACACGTGTGATCTGACGCAAGTGCGTCACTCCCATTCGCTCTCTTTCGCTCCTCCGCTCATCCATTCACTCTTTTCACCAGGACCGCCAAGAACCTTTTCCTTCTTACTGCAGCGCTCTCCTCTCAAGCCCGCAGGGTCCTCATGTTAACTTATGTAATTTTTTTTTTTAATATTTTTCCTTCTTATCCCCTCATCCACACACACACACCACCACTTCCTTTTTCTGCCTGCTTGTTTGCTTGCTGTCAACTCCATGGCACGTATCATAACTTAGCGTATGGTGGGAGGGGGGGGAAAGGGTCCCCCAACCAGAGGTCCAGCATCCCGTGTTTTTTATGCAGTACCCGCGCTCTGCTGGTATCATGGATGCGAAGTATCACTGATCATGTTTCGGATCGCAGCAAAGGGAGAAGGGAAAGACCCCGCTTCTGTGAGATGTTTGTATGATATGCCTGGCTGTCTCATTGGTGGTCCCTGGGTGATGTGGGTCCGGGAGGGAGGAGGGTGGGTGGATGGGTACAAGAGTACCGTATTCGTACTGGTATCGAGTACCTGTATTGTTCCTGTGTGCGTTACTTGTTGTATGATACTCGAGTACTGTACGAGTGCCGTACTCGTACTTGTACCCGTATTGGGTACGTAACCTCTGTGTGTATCGTCTGTCATGTCCCTCTTGTGCTACGCCACCGCACTCTTATCCTTCGGATAAGCCATCTTCATGACGAGCTCGGGGTTCCCGTACTGTGCGATTACGAGTGACTGTCCTTACCGGGGATCCGCTACCGTTGTCGCCCGCTCCTCGCGGAAACCTGTCTGTTTGTCCATCAGAAAAGCTGCAAGCCGTTTCCTCCGCCGGCTTTGGCCCGGAACTGGACCTTTTTTTCCCAGGGATCCTCGCGCATCCTTCAGATTGATGATGATCCTCTCGGGAGATCTTGTGGTGCACACCACCCACCACCCAACTTACTCCAGTACCTGTCCACCTTGGGTTTGACGTTTAACCCCCCTTTTTTTTTTTTTTTTTTTCGCATTACCGCAGTCTCTCGCTGTCACGGCTTTACAGCATAGTCCTTACCGTTTTCATCCATACCAACGGATATAAAAATCGGATCGTGACATAGTACGTTACCCCAGCATGGTTCACGTTTGCTGCCGTACCGTTATCGCTACCGGTACCCAAGGCACCGAGAACCGCGAGACCCGGCGCGTACATCTGACTTTAATCTGAATCGCGATTCGCGATCGCGCGTGGCTCGTGCACCTATCACCATCCCAAAGCTAGCGGTAGTATCTCGGGAGGAAGGAAGGGTAAAGCTGAGTCTGAGTTGAGGTTAAGCGTGCACACTACTAAGCAAGGGCCACGGATATAGTACTTCAAAAACCTATCATAGGGCTGAAAGGGGGGGGAGGGTTGAAGACGGTGCAGTGCAGGGACACCAAGTGACGGTGTATGGCAGAGTGTGTACTAGTATAGCATCCTCTCGTAGCTTCACGTATGGGCCCTAGTCTACCGTGGATATGGAAAAACAGGAACGGAATTTTTGTCAAGGGAAGAAGAAGAAGAAGATGATGATGATGATGGTGGTGGTGGTGGTGTCGGGGTATGCTCCCCGATTCGAAGGGATCGGAAATCGGTAGATCAAGGCAGGCCAGCAGTGACTTACTTCGTGGTGAACTGTTGCCCGTGCCCGCTTCTATGGCTGAAGGGAGGGTTGGCGGCAGGAAGATATTACTGCTTGGAAGGTGGTAAGAGGCGGACGCATGATGACCATAGTAGATTAAGAGTAGTTGTTTGAAAAAAGAGTTATCACAAAAGTTACCGGTACCGTATACCTCCCGGTAAAACGCGCAAAGCAAAGGATCCATATAGGAGGATATGTACACCAGTCCCGGTAGCTGACATTTGAGTCCTCTATAAAATTGCAATGCTCAGTTGGGCCCGGGCAGGCAGAAACATGGGTTAAGCTCTTGCCGGAGGAATTGTTCACTGCCCGACGGTTGGATGAACCATAGTTACCTTTCCGATTACCTGTAGCTCGCAATTCCTAACTCGTAAACTTACTCTTACCCCCCCCCCCCCCCCCCCTGTCCTCCTCCTCCTCCTCCTCCTTGCTCTCTCACTTCCTCTTTTCCGCATCGGAAGCTCGTACGGTAGCCGAAGGGGGTACCGCTCGTTTGTACTCTGCGTTTCGATCTATCGCTGCCCGTAATTTCGTTGCTCCCCCGCCCCACCGACTGCCACTACGGCACCGCTTTCACTCCTGCTCCCTCCTAACGTACTTACTCCATCACTGCGTACGTATGTGCGTGTGTGTGTGTGCAGAAGTCGTAAGTAGCCTGCAACAGCACCTGCTTGCGAAGTGAGCTACCACCACCATTGTCCACCGTCCTCTCCGCTGCCACCAACCACTTCCAATCCGACACCTCATCCCTCCTCCTTTTACCCCACCGAACTCCCTCTACCCTCCTTCTCCTGCCTCACTCTCTCTACCCATTCAAATTCTCCTCGGAATCTTCTCCCCTGCCCCTTCCTCTGTTATTCTGCATTCAACCATTTAGCATTGTCAGGCGTTGCAGCGTTTCGTTTCGGCTTCCGTTGAGAGCCTCTGTACTTTGTTGCTTTCCCGTCTTCTCACTCGGTTGGCCGCAAGTTGTACCTTGGAACCAGCTTCCGCAGATAGGTGAAAAAGGTAGGTTTTACACCATTACCCACCACCGCCCCTGGGTCCTCCCGTCGTTCCTGATTATTCCCTTCCCCCCCTCCCGGAGAATCCCTCGTTTGTCCGCACTCTGCTCGTCCCGCTTGCATTAGTCATGGCGGGGTTCCCTGTTTTGGCTACTCCCCGAGAAAGTGTGCTGAGGATTCTGCAGTTCAGCTAGGCATGCTCAATGGCCTTTCCAGCTACCGTGGGTGATCGAAACCCCAGAGAACTTCAGCACAGGAATTCACAAGCTCACATTGCGAACCAGTTCCCCGCCTATGCCCCGCTTCGTTCCCCTGCTGAGGCATCCCCCATTTCGGCTGCTCCCGACAACAGAGCAACACTCCAACGTCGGTTCACAACCGACTCATTGAAACAACCCCAAATGAACACGCTCTCCAGTTGGGACCCTTCCAGCTTCAATCGTATAACTGCCGAGCCATTGGATTTGGCTCCTAGTGTACGTATATCCCCTGTGGTTTTATTTTATTTTATTTTATTCACCGGTACTCGTTTGAAGGTGGCTCCAGTTTGTGCCCTACTTGTCACTGACCTTCCCGTTTATCCATTTCAACTGCAGACTCGCCAGAAAGTTGAGATGGTTCGTCTTGCTGCTGTGCTACAAAGTTTATCCTGCTGACCAGTCGTGCATGGCCAGTTGCAGCAGAAACAGCGTGAGATGGAATTGAAGCAACTGGAGGTGATGAAATTGCGTGAGCAGCAGAAGAACTACGAGGAGCACATGAGACGCCTTGCATTTCAACAGCAGGAGGACGAGAGGGAGATTCGCCGTATTGCCCAAGACCTCGACCGTATGGCCCTCGGGGGTAATTCCAGGCTTAATTCCACTACCGGTATGGGCCGTAGTGAGCCTACAACCCCCCCGGACCACGATACCTTTACTCGTTCCAGGGCCGGGCATCCTGGAACCGGTGCCCTGGCTACCCCCCCTGGAGCCGTTCGTCATGATCAACAGCAGCAACAGCAGCTTATGACTCCACCAGCCGACGATATAACCCCTTTTATATCCCATAAGGCATCCAAGTCTATGCCTGGGTCCAGACGCAACTCCGATGAGAATGAGAACAAGGGTACCCCAGACCAAAGTCTCGGAGGGCAACGGTCTAGCGTTAGGTGAATGCCCTGCTTCTTTTTCACGTATCTACATGTGTATATGCATGGGTTAAATTTTTATATCTATGTGTGCTAACCTACGAAGAAACTCTTTACCTAACGGTTCGGTTACGAGAGGTACCAACAATGCCAGTGCAACCTTGGGCATGGAAACAACACAGGTCAGTCGCATCTTTCTCCCCGGGGATGAGCTCGGTGGAAGTGGCCCCGCCAAGAGTGCACAATCTACAACTTCTCCGGACATTAAGGCTTTCTTCGATATGACCGATCCCGATGACAAATTCCCAATCTTGGTACGTCATGGCGGTAACCCGGGAATGGTGAGTTGATGCCTGATATATATATTTCCAATGTTTTACATTTGACTAATCCACCAAAAGCTGTCGGCATCATCTGCCCCCCTTGATCTCGCCGTCCCACCCTCCAAAGGTCAGGTGACCCCGGCCAATAACAGTTGGGCCTTTTCCCGTCACCACCACCAGCACAGTCTGCCATCCAACAGCTATGGCACGCCGTTTACTCCGACTAGCAATGCTTCTCCAAAGGTTGCAGTTCCTCAGACAGATTCTGCAGCTCTTGGGCGTCGGTTTGAGAGAGCATCGACCGATTTGTCCTTTAGCAGTTTTCCTGACAATATCGATACAAAGCCCCCACAGAACGAAGCTTCTCATGCGAATCAAAATTTCATGCCGAAGCTTCAGGCATCATATTCAACCTCCGATTTGCCAACCATGCGGGCCGCTAACCCTATCAGTGTTCAGGGCTATGGTAGGATTGCAATGGATAGGCCTAGGCATAGTCGTGAACCGTCCACCAGTGGTGATATGCCTCTCTCGGTATATAACCAAAACCTTGGGTATTCCTCGCCTGAGCTAATGTATCAGCAGGGAGGTGGACCTCTCGCCTTTGGTCCACCCCTCAACGTCAATGTTGGCTCGATGCCTGTGATGACGCCTGGGATGCAGTCCCCTCTTCCGTCTCCTGGTATATACGGAGGCCCCTCTGCGGGACTTTACGGGGGCTATGGGAATATCAATATCGGGAATCTTACGAATCCCGGTTATCACATGACGCCTCTTGGTCCTTTTGGAGCTCATCCAAACTATCAACAAGTGCCCAAGGTTGGCGAAGGGCCTCATCAGGGAGGCGGTGCACAGAATCGGAATGTGCAAAAGAGAGGACATGACGGAGAGGGTATGCTCTATGACTACTATGGCGCAAGATCATATCTAATGGAACGCGCAGCGAATCGCTTTGCCAATACTCCTCTCGAGAGCCTGACTGGCAATATCTACGAGCTCTGTAAGGATCAGCATGGGTGCCGCTATCTCCAAAAGAAACTTGAAGAACGCAGCCCCCAATACGTGCAGATGATCTTCCTTGAAACTCACGCCCACGTGGTTGAGTTGATGACTGGTAACCAGGTCCTCGCTTCGAACCTGCGCCGACTGTGCTGACCTGGGGTAGATCCCTTTGGGAATTACCTCTGCCAAAAACTTCTCGAATATGCCAACGATGAACAGAGGACTGTTCTTGTCAATACTGCTGCCCCTCAGCTCGTCAAGATTGCCCTGAACCAGCACGGGACCAGAGCGCTGCAGAAAATGATTGAGTACATTACCACACCAGAGCAGGTTGGCTTACCTCCTTCTTACCAGAGGCCATGATTTCTGACTGTAGAAATTAGATTCGCACTGTCATTCACGCCCTTCAAAGCAAGGTGGTGGAGCTTATCCAAGATCTCAATGGTAATCACGTTATTCAGAAATGTTTAAATCGCTGGAAGAAGGAAGAAAACAAGGTAACCTGGCTACTTGGTCCTTCATAGACACGGTGACTAACTCTTGGATGAAGCTTCAATTCATATTTGATGCCGTTGGTGAGGATTGTGTTGCTGTGGGAACACATCGCCACGGTTGCTGTGTTCTTCAACGCTGTATAGATCATGCGGCCGGAGCTCAAAAGGTCAAGTTGATTCAAAAGATTACTGCTCATGCGATTGAACTCGTGGTTGATCCCTTCGGGAATTACGTTGTTCAGTATATCTGTAAGTGGGCTCATTTATCCTCGGATTTCTCTAGCCATTGACCGGTATTATCTCTGCAGTGGATCTGGCCGACCCTATGCTGTCCGAACCTTTGATTCTCAAGTTTAGGGGCCGTGTCTGCGAACTCTCGAAACAGAAGTTTAGCTCTAATGTTATCGAGAAGGTTCTCTTTTCTGTCATTGGGAATGGTAATGAGAATGCTAACGGTTCCACAGTGTATTCGTGTTGCTGAGCCGCCGACGAAAAAGATATTGATTGAAGAAATGCTTCCTAATCAGGCTGAGTTGGAAGCATTGCTTCGGGACTCTTATGCCAACTATGTGATTCAGACGGCTGTAATAGTCCCCCTGAATGTTGTTCTATACCTAGCTAACGATGGCCGAATTAGATGGATTATGCTTCTCCTGAGACCAAGCAACAGTTGGTTGACAGCATTAGACCAATCCTTCCGGCAATTCGCATGACACCGTATGGACGCAGGATTCAGTCCAAGATCCAGATCTCCAGCGGTGGCAGCACATCGGCCGGCCTGCCCTTTCCGAGCGGGAGTTCTCCGGGGGCTCATCCGCCGGCGCCTTCCCGTTCGCACTCCTTTAACCAACCGACTGTCCGTCCGAACCTTGTACAACAGCAACAGCAACAGCAACAACAACAACCATACCCTTCCCCCTTTCGTACTGACATGGCGAACTCTTACTTCGCCTAATATTTTCTTTGCATGTTGATATAGGGACTCTTATTGCCCTTGCTGCACCTATGTTGTTTCTCTAGCTTTTGCTTCTTCTCTGCTTTTCTTTCAACCTTTTTCCTTCGGATTTTCATGGGGATGAAAGGGTGGATGCGATACGATAGGACACGATACGATGCTTATACGATATGGATCGAATGGCAACATGCGAGTTGCTAAGTTTCTAGGGGTTGTCGTTATTTCATAAGGGGTGTACGGACAAATATTCTCTGGGCGCGGAGGTTGCGGGCGAGGTGATGGAAAAAATGAACAGCATAATGCGGATGTGCTATGGCTGTATAGTAGAGGCATTTGCAATATTGTTGATGGTTTGTAAACTATGTTACAGGTGTTGCTTGCATAGATTAGCACTGGTTTTATTGTGTTTTCCCCTTCTTTCATTTTTTATCCTGCATATTTCTCTCTTTCTGGCATTTTATCTCTGTGTTGCTAGTTTCCATGTCTTTTATTTTCATACTCTTTTTTTTCTTCCCCCTCTTGTTTTGTCAAATATGCAAAACAGTGCGCGATGTAAGTTAGCTCTGATTGCTTGGTGGGATGGAAGGAGAAGGGGCTGTTGGGGGGCTTCGTATCTTTGCATTCATGGACGGTATCGAGGCTCGTTCTTGTATTTAGCCTTACTGAGCCATTGATCAGTGGTTCTTGTGATCAAACTTATTATCAGAATCAATGATATGATTCTTACATGTCAACTTTACCCCGAGTGTTGTTTGGTGTGTGCTTTGTGTAAACTCTGGTGCCATTGAAATTAGGATGGCGGTCGCCCCGAAACGTGCTACATACGAGGTCGTTTACTCGCTGACGTTTGTCCTCAGGATACTAGTAGTGCTGTAGGATTTGCAAAGATGGGCCAAAGATGGGCTGTGCAGGCTGTGCGTCCGAGGGGTATAGTGGAAATATGCATCACAGGATATCACTAATTGGGCGACTTTTGAGTATGAGTTGGGCCAGGGTCAATGCCAGTATTGTGGGAAGCCTCCGCTGCATAACCGGTACAACATGCGGGGGTCACCGTGCAAGGTGTGCAATCGCACGGTAATTAACTCTGTGGGCCTCAAAACATGTATCACCATGATCCGACCGTGCAATGGGCTAGTGTTCCTTCTGCGGAAAATCTAATAATAGGGCGGGGCTACGTTTTGTCACGGCTTTGTAACTTGTCATTTTCCGAAAGAACGGCCTTTTCCTTTTATCGTGCGGCCGTACGGTAAGCTATATACCGGTATGCCGGTGCGGAAAGGGATGATGGGTTCATTGGTGGCTGGCCTGGCCGATCGACTGATGCGAGCGCCTCTCGGAGGTATGATAGACTATCATATCGATATCATATCCTACAAGCAGGAGTTTGAAGAATAGGAACCGGTGGCTGAACGAGGGTCGAGGGCTGGTCGCAGATATTTCCTGGTCAGGGTAAGGGTCGGGGCCTGTCCCCTCGTTCCCGGGGCTTGGCATGCAAAAAAGGTTCCCATTCCCGTTCCTTTCCGGTGACGGCATGACATTTTTTCCTCTTGACACAGCCGGAGTTTCATTCCCACCACCGATAAAAATCCACGGATGCCGATATCAATCTCCCCTCCGCGGCCAGTGCAATACCTTCTCCCTCCGGACTCCGACTCTGACCGCGATGATGAAAAGGTAATACTGGACGAGGACGGCGACTTTGTTCGCATGGCCTCGGCGCCGCGGAAAAGATCGAAAGTAATTTCCATCGTGACTCCCGGAGAGATCGTGACCTCGGACCCCCAATGGATGCGCGGTCACGGAACCTATATACTGCGGGGCAATGGCTCCGCCGCCACCGGCGATGACTCGGACGAACAGATGGAAGACGGCGCAGACGCGGCAGCTACCGGTGGTGGTGGTGGTGGTGGTGGTGGTGGCGGCGGTGGTAGCATAGTAGCAACAGTGGCGGGCACAGTTCAAAAAGTCAACAAACTCCTCAGTGTGAAACCCCTGCGCGCCCGCTACGCGCCCGAGATCGGGGACCTGGTCGTCGGGCGGATCACGGAGGTGCAATCAAAGCGGTGGAAGGTGGACATCAATTCCACGCTGACGGCGCATCTACTCCTGTCCTCTATCAATCTGCCCGGCGGCATCCTGCGGAAGAGGACCTCCACCGATGAACTTCAGATCAGGAGTTTCTTTTCGGAGGGAGACCTCTTGGTCGCTGAAGTGCAGAGTTTGTTCCAGGACGGGGCGGCGTCGCTGCACACCCGGTCGCTCAAGTACGGAAAATTACGCAATGGGTACTTTTTGAAGGTCAAGGCGGGTGGGATCGTCAGGGGAAAGTCACACATCGTTACGCTCGAGGCAGCTAACGGGGCCGGGGAGGTGGACGTAATATTGGGCATCAACGGCTACGTGTGGGTTTCCAAAAAGACCACGTTGCAAGCCCCCCCCGGTGGGGAGAGCATCACTCGGTTGGAGGAGGAGGCGAGCGAGGCCATCTACTCCAACGTGAACGAGGATATCGCCCCCGTTACCCGCAGGGAGATTGCCCGGATAGGGAACTGTGTCAGGGCGATGGTCAGATGGAACGTCAGGGTCGATGAGGAGGTCCTTAATGCCGTGTATCTGTGCGCACTGGAGCTCGAAGAGATGGGATTCGAGGAAGAGGGCGGTGGCAGCAGTGGGGCGGAATCTCTGGAGGGGGAGGTGGGGAGGAGGGTTGTGGAGGCCGGGATGGAAAAGGTTAGGGAAGCCAATTCGAAGGCTGGCAGAATGATCGAGTGAGTGATTACTACTATTATTATAATATGCGTACGGTGCTTGTTGTTTTTCTTTTGCCATATCATATCATACTTTGACCATGAGAAGGTGTAACCTGGAGACGCACCCGTAGCCCCCTCCTCCTCCCCCCCCCGATGCGATTGAAAAGCAACTTAGCCATCCACCACTAGTTCTGGTTCAAACCCCGCGAGTGATCCTGCGTGATGCCCCTTACTGATACAACTCTTGACCCGAAACCGGTCAATAGATCCGCACGGGTGCCGGTACCAAGTACCGTATTCCACCCCACACCCACCGACAAATGATACCCCGCAGTCAAGTCTTGGCAAATAGCGGGGCAACCGGCATTAACATGAGTGCTATCATGGGTACTTGTATGATAGACTACTGTTGTAGAGCACGGATACCGTACCGTATTAAATTACACCTATCCCAAGAGATCCGGTCAAGAAAACAAACGTGACGCTGAAAGTTTTTTTCCTTTCTTTTTTCCCCTTCGTATTACACGATACATGCAAAATGCCCTGAAATAAATAATAATAATAATAAAAATCCATGACGCAGATAGGAAGGGCACCGGAATTGCCTAACTTACTGTACCCCCTTGAAGAAAGAAAGAAAGAAAGGGAATCTAGGATAGTGATAGCAAAAAAAAGAACGATAAGTTGGACCGGTATGCGGGGCACTGTACAGTAATTACAGTAATTAAAGTGCCGGTGCGACTATCGTAAAGGATATAACAGCATTCTATTATATACAGTAGCGTATGATACAAGTATTCGCGGTGACCACCATCTCCCATACTCGTACTGTACTGTACATGAGAATAATAAGTAATTTTGCGCAGAGTACTTTTGGTAAGTTGCTCAGCACGCCATCGACCGAACGGACCGGGACCGCCTTGCAAGAAAGAAAGAAAGAAAAAACCCATTACTGAGTAGACCATTGTGTTATTGTACCATGTTATACCGGTAGTATAATAAACTATCGATCTGGACATCATCTATTGAACAAAGAATCACATGACGCGATTTCGTGAAAACAGAAGGGTATTGCAAGGTGAAGGAGCTAAGACAGTCTAAGCCCCACTTGATATGACGGCATCATAGCTTCCAACCAACCAACCAGACAAGAAAAAACGCTCAACTTCACAGCTTTTTTCTCTTTTTATCAATCACACGAGCGAACAAAGCTATCTATCATACGAGAAGGAAGGAAGGAATAATGGGAGGTGAGGGGGAAGAACAAGAGCCGCCACCCTCTTACCCCGCTACGATAGCCAGGGACCCGTTACCGCTCCTAGCGCCATACGTTGCGAAACGAGACTTGTATAGTGCGAGTCTCGTGTGTAGGTCCTGGCACAGGGAGTTCTCAGAGTACCTCTGGCGGAGGCCGGATGTATTTTGGGATTTGGGTGATCGCAGCCCGCTAAGTACCCCCACCCTCTCTCTCTCTCTCTCTCTCTCTCTTCCTTCCTTCC